CTTCAGATGCTCCACGAGCCAATTCCTGTCCGAATCCGGGAATCATTTGTAATATCTGATTAAATGGACCCATTTTCATTATATTAGTAAATTGTTCATACATATCACGTAAAGTAAACTCTCCATGTTTAAGTTTCTCAATTAATTCCTCATTATCATCCAATTTTAGTTCGTTTACTTTATCAATAAGACCTTCAATATCTCCCATTCCTAACAATTTAGAAACGAAAGGTTTCACTTTGAAAGGCTCGAAATCATCCATATGTTCACCAGTACCGATAAAAGTAATCGGCGAATGAGTAACCGCAACTGCACTAAGAGCACCACCTCCTTTAGCATGACCATCTAATTTGGTCACTATTACAGCTCCAATATCCACTTTACTTTTGAATGCTCGAGCTTGTGCTTCACATGCATGACCAATGGAAGCGTCCATCACGAAAATTACTTGATTCGGATTAATGGCATTGCTAATTGATAACATCTCTTCAAATAAGGCACTTTCTTGTTTATGTCTTCCACTTGTATCCACAATTATTATCTCAAAACCTTCTTTCATGAATTTATCAACCCCTTCCGCCGCTACTACCACTGGATCCGCTTCCGTGTATGAACCATAAAATGGTATTCGGGCTTTAGTTGCATTCTGTTTAAGTTGATCAAATGCTCCAGCACGAAAAGTATCAGCACAAACCAGACAACATTTCCATCCTTTTCTCAGATAATAATAAGCCATTTTTGTACATGTTGTTGTTTTACCAGCACCTTAATAGTTGTAAATAATTAGTAATTAGTAATTAGTAAATAGTATTATCAATACATTTTCAATACAACAATTGAATCAATCAATACACTAAATTGTTACCTTGAAGACCTACAAACATGATTATGTTTGGCTTTCCTTTGTTGGTTGCCAAGCTTTTACTCCAGGATCAACTAATTTGACTAATTCTTGAAAACGGCCATTTGGATCATCCGTCTTTTATTAAGACCTGCGGCCATTTCATCGAAATCAATAACTTGACGGACATTTTCTCGCAATTGTTTCACCAATCGTATATTAACATCACCTTCCAGAAGAGCTTTACAAATCTCTTTCAATAAACTCTCCAAAACATCTTGGTCAATAATCGTCGCATTTCCAAGTGAACGTAAAGCATTTGTTATCTTACGTCCTAAATCTGCTAAAACCATTTTATTAATTAACAAAAGAAAACAATTATAACTGTAGATTAAATAAATTACAAATCACATTCAAAAAACCAAATTAAAAACATGAAATTTTGACAATTTTGAAAACCAAAACAAGGTAAACAAGATCAGCGACATCTAGACTTTGATCAACGAACAATAAAAAACAATCAACACAAATTAATTCAATTCTCAACAATTAATTAATTTATAAATTAAATTCCGATCCTCAATAACTCGGAACGATTTCCATAACCATAAAAAAATCTAAATTCAACAATTAAATTCCAATTGGAAAACAATTGATCATTTGAAATTCTTTCTCAAACAGCGTCACCTGTTGGGAGAAAAAAGAACCAAAAAGAAGTGATCCCATGCCCTTGTTCAAGAGCATTCGCATTCAAATGTATTGATTGAAGGCCTTTTTTTGTTTGTGTGTTTGGGTCTTAATTAGATTTGATTAATTGTTTTTTTTTGTTGGTGGTTGTTAATGAAAAATGTCTATTTTACACCTTCGACCGACTCTACAACGTGAAATAATTAAACTATTACGATGTAAATCTAATTTTAAATTATCTTCTGCTAGTTATTATGAATTTAAAGATATCATTGGTAACCGGGAGATAGTTGGTTATGGTAATGATGGTCAACCTTTTTATTATGATCGTCTTAATCAACCATTTCCAGCAATTAGATTTAAGGAAGATTCACCTGATATGTTAGCATTAAAAGAGAAAGAAAAAGGTGATTGGAAATCATTAACCATAGAAGAAAAGAAACAATGTAAGTATCAAAATTCTCTTTTCTCTATTTCCTCAAGTATCAGAATATAGAGAAGAAGAAGAGGAGAGAAAAGAAGAAAAGAAAAGAGATTTTCTTTTTTGTTTACTAATTTCCTTTTTCTTTTTCTTTTTAATTGTTCTCTTTTTTTTTGGTTCCATTTTTTTTGGTCCACTTTGTCTAGTATATCGACATTCATATTGTCGTACATATGCTGAATTAACAGCACCAACTGGTGATTGGAAACAAGTGATTGCTGGTATTCTTGGAATTGTTGGTTTGACTTTTCTAGTTGTTGTTGGAGAGAAAGAGTTTCTTTTTCCACCATTACCCGAGTCTATGAATGAAGAAAATACCAGGAGGTTCATGAAGTTTGCTCTTTTCAACAGAATAGATGAATTTGATGGATACGCATCTAAATGGGACTATGAAAACAATTGCTGGAAGAAATAAATACACAAACACAACAACAAAACAATCTAAATCATCTCTCTCATGTAATGTTAACCTTTCTCGTCGCCAGTTTTATCTTAAAGATCATTTTGAAATCTTAGGATCCAAAAGATCAGAAATCAAGTTTCAAATCCAATAACTTGAAAGAAAATGTATTGTTAAATTTAGATGAAAATACTACTCATGGAATTTATCGATTCTTGATGATTACACTAATAAATGGATGGTCATCTTTAGTCTCTCATCAACCTAATTATCCAAAGTGTTTATCTACCATCAATCGAAATACCAAGATTGACTCTAATGAAGATTTTCCTTCGAGCAATCAATTCAATTGATCAATCGCCTAACGAAACTCAGTTAATTACAACCAATCTCTTCTCTGTTTACTATAGCCTTTAATCTAATCTGATAGCAATTAGATATCTATAAGATAATCATAATACAATCAAAGATTCAATTCTCAACTAAATTAATCTGATATTAATTTTTGAGAGAAATCAATTCCAGTCAAAGTTTTCTAAATGATAACCAACCATTTACTTAATCAGGTGAATTGAATTGTATCTAAATTGACATTTGTTAATAATTCATATTCCCAATTAATTAAGAAAAAAATTAGATTAATTGTTATGAATTGAAAAATAGTCCAATTAATCAATTGATTGTCTAGCATAACCATTACGTGATAACTATTTTCTCGTGTTAATCAATATAATCAAATTTGAATCAGTTCAATTAAACAATCAACATTTCATTTCACGTTTATATTAATAACTATGAAAGTATCAAATTATTTTCCAAGTCACGAACAAATTTTAAACACAATTAAGATCACAATTATTCAAGAAAATGTCTTATTACATAATAATATCAAGTAAATCACCAAGCTGATAGTCATTTGAAACTTATTGATTAAGTTATTAAAAAATTGATCAACTGATCAATCAACAATTTTCAATGGTCTGAATCAATAAGATTGTAAAAAAAATCTCAGCGTTTTTAGTTGATTATTTTACCAGTTGAATGTTTAATTGTAACAATCTAATTTAACCTGATAATGTCTACTGGGAAAATTTGCCTAATCAACTTGGACATTGAAAGGATTCGAAGCTGTTGATTAGGTTAATTAACAAGCTATTTAGATTGTGATTAGCCAAGTCGAAAGTATTTCGAAAGCGGCCAAAACTTATCAAAAGTTTTCGAATCGTTTTCGAGTTTCCCGTTCATCTTTCGACCAGTATGATATTGATCGAGTTCCATATGTTACACCTCAAGTTGTGGCTCGAAATTATCAATCATCTAGATCAATGATGAATTCAAGATGAATTTGATCTGATCAATTTATTCGTTCGATACATGATCAGTCTCGTTCGGTTCCTTAGTTGATCCTTCCATCACCGATGAACGGGTACAAACCTATTTGACCGATTTTATGTTCCGGTCAAATTCAGTTTTAGTAAACTCATTCGAGTTTCGATGAGAATAGTTAATTAACTTTCTCTTGACTTATTGAGCGAGGTAAAGTTTATCTACAATTTGTAAACTTATGCAATTATGACCTTCGATTAGTGAACTAAACATGGTATTGTTACCGGTGGTCAGTACCTTTGGATGTTTACCTTATTCAATAGCACCATGTAAACGCAGTGTTTACGATACTCGGTCGGTGAGGAGGTACTTTCTGAGGCTCTATCGTGCCCACAAGAGTGTATTTCTAGTTATGGTAAAAAAATCTGATTCTGGTAAATTTTTTGGACAAAAATCTTATTCGTTTTTTGAACCTTACGATATAATGGCCGAGATAATGACCAATGGGCCAAAATGTTAATATTTTCCGATTTCTACAATTATAAATCAGGTTAGTACATTTTATCCTATCAAATTTAGGTAGAAATTTACTAATTATTATCATCATTTTTGGTGTTTATCAATATGAAACTGGTGAATGGCTTGGTTATCATACTTTTAAGATAATTGGTTTGTGTAATGATAAAGGTATTGATTATTGGTTAATTGCTAATACCTGGAATATCAGTTGAGGCGATGAAGGTAAATCAGTTGATTGTTTAATAATCATCCACTAATTGTAATCTTTTTATCCATCAGGTTTCTTCAAAATCAAACGCGGTGAAAATCAATGTGACATTGAATTTTATGTAATTGCTGGACAACCGATGAGAAAATATTTGATTGTTATAAGTTATGTATTTCCTTTTCCTGTTAACCATATATAAATTGGCTCAGCTAACTAAATAAGTGCTAACGATGGAGTAACCATGATATTGTCTTTTTTCAATTTACTAATTATTTATACATATATTCTGGAATAATTTGCGTCCAAGAGTTTAGCAATTGCTATTCTTATGGAATCCACGATTTTTGGCCTGATCATTTCAATGACGGAAACCTAAATAACTTGATAGAAAGAGGATGAAAATTTTTCCTTTTGATATTATACTTAAGTTAGCGGAAGTTAGCTAAAGAACTTGATGACTTTTTCTGTTGACAAAATCGTTATTATTAATTTTCTCCACTTTATTATATCTCGAAATCAGGTCACGTCGAACTCGGAATAATGTTCTGAACAGGTTAACCTTTATGTTTATAAATATTATGACAATCGATTTGTTAATAGTGAAAAGGTCGTTTTTCGTAGGTTGTTAGCGTTCGGTGGCGGTAATGACGATAATCTAATGTTCAGCACATTCAATTGTCATTTCGATTACAATTAATCTTTACATTTTATGATCATGATCATTGGGTACGATTCATTTTTCAAAATAAGACTTGAATTGATCAATAATTTGTCCAATTACATTTCTAATATTGATTTAAATAAAAGTGTTACAACCAATTTTAATGATTAATTGCCAATGATGATGAATATGAACCAATTGCTTTTTCAAATTGAAATGATTAACATAATTTATCAACGGAATAATTTAATTTTTAAAACTGAGACTATGGTTCTTATTATTATTCACGTTGACGATAATCCATTTCCGAGATTAAAGATTAGAGATTTGCATTTTTTTTTGTAAAACAATTGACTTTTTACAATTTAATTTATTGTATTTCTATTGACTACTTTGGGCAGCATCTAATTTAATGATCAGGTTACAAAATGGTAACACTCGATCATTTGTTAGTCGTTGATAACATTGCATGAGAGAGATGATTTAGATTGTTGTTGTTGTTGTGTTTGTGTATTTATTTCTTCCAGCAATTGTTTTCATAGTCCCATTTAGATGCGTATCCATCAAATTCATCTATTCTGTTGAAAAGAGCAAACTTCATGAACCTCCTGGTATTTTCTTCATTCATAGACTCGGGTAATGGTGGAAAAAGAAACTCTTTCTCTCCAACAACAACTAGAAAAGTCAAACCAACAATTCCAAGAATACCAGCAATCACTTGTTTCCAATCACCAGTTGGTGCTGTTAATTCAGCATATGTACGACAATATGAATGTCGATATACTAGACAAAGTGGACCAAAAAAAATGGAACCAAAAAAAAAGAGAACAATTAAGAAAAGAAAAGAAAAGAAAATTAGTAAACAAAAGAAAATCTCTTTCTTTTCTTCTTTCTCTCTCTTCTTCTTCTCTATATTCTGATACTTGAGGAAATAGAGAAAAGAGAATTTTGATACTTACATTGTTTCTTTTCTTCTATGGTTAATGATTTCCAATCACCTTTTTCTTTCTCTTTTAATGCTAACATATCAGGTGAATCTTCCTTAAATCTAATTGCTGGAAATGGTTGATTAAGACGATCATAATAAAAAGGTTGACCATCATTACCATAACCAACTATCTCCCGGTTACCAATGATATCTTTAAATTCATAATAACTAGCAGAAGATAATTTAAAATTAGATTTACATCGTAATAGTTTAATTATTTCACGTTGTAGAGTCGGTCGAAGGTGTAAAATAGACATTTTTCATTAACAATCACCAACAAAAAAAACAATTAATCAAATCTAATTAAGACCCAAAAACACAATCAGCAAAGTAAAACCGAAAGGCCTTCAACTAACCAAAGGTGAAAACAGAAAATTGAATGTTTTCCAAAAGTCGACAAAAAGAACCAAGAGATGGCGCTCAGTTCATTTGCTCGAAAATAAATTCAATTAATTTTAATTGTTCCAAGTAAGTTGAATCCATTAGGAACATCAATTAATAAATGATTAGCTTTATCATTAAATTTCTAATTGTCGAGAAATTAAAATTGTGACTTTTTCCAGTTAGAATTTAGTTAATTTCAATGTAAATTAAAAAGAAAATCGTATTTATTTTCGTTACCAAGAGATGTCACTGTTGTGATGAATTTTTGTTTACATCTACAATTTGATTATGTCATCAATTCATGTTTGCTTTTTAATTTTGTCTCATTGTTTTCTTTTTAATTAATTGTTTTCTTTTTGTTAATTAATAAAAATGGTTTTAGCAGATTTAGGACGTAAGATAACAAATGCTTTACGTTCACTTGGAAATGCGACGATTATTGACCAAGATGTTTTGGAGAGTTTATTGAAAGAGATTTGTAAAGCTCTTCTGGAAGGTGATGTTAATATACGATTGGTGAAACAATTGCGAGAAAATGTCCGTCAAGTTATTGATTTCGATGAAATGGCCGCAGGTCTTAATAAAAGACGGATGATCCAAATGGCCGTTTTCCAAGAATTAGTCAAATTAGTTGATCCTGGAGTAAAAGCTTGGCAACCAACAAAAGGAAAGCCAAACATAATCATGTTTGTAGGTCTTCAAGGTAACAATTTAGTGTATTGATTGATTCAATTGTTGTATTGAAAAATGTATTGGATAATACTATTTACTAATTACTAATTGCTAATTATTTACAACTATTAAGGTGCTGGTAAAACAACAACATGTACAAAAATGGCTTATTATTATCTGAGAAAAGGATGGAAATGTTGTCTGGTTTGTGCTGATACTTTTCGTGCTGGAGCATTTGATCAACTTAAACAGAATGCAACTAAAGCCCGAATACCATTTTATGGTTCATACACGGAAGCGGATCCAGTGGTAGTAGCGGCGGAAGGGGTTGATAAATTCATGAAAGAAGGTTTTGAGATAATAATTGTGGATACAAGTGGAAGACATAAACAAGAAAGTGCCTTATTTGAAGAGATGTTATCAATTAGCAATGCCATTAATCCGAATCAAGTAATTTTCGTGATGGACGCTTCCATTGGTCATGCATGTGAAGCACAAGCTCGAGCATTCAAAAGTAAAGTGGATATTGGAGCTGTAATAGTGACCAAATTAGATGGTCATGCTAAAGGAGGTGGTGCTCTTAGTGCAGTTGCGGTTACTCATTCGCCGATTACTTTTATCGGTACTGGTGAACATATGGATGATTTCGAGCCTTTCAAAGTGAAACCTTTCGTTTCTAAATTGTTAGGAATGGGAGATATTGAAGGTCTTATTGATAAAGTAAACGAACTAAAATTGGATGATAATGAGGAATTAATTGAGAAACTTAAACATGGAGAGTTTACTTTACGTGATATGTATGAACAATTTACTAATATAATGAAAATGGGTCCATTTAATCAGATATTACAAATGATTCCCGGATTCGGACAGGAATTGGCTCGTGGAGCATCTGAAGCAGATTCTATGGCAAAATTAAAACGATTAATGACAATCATGGATTCAATGAGTGATAGTGAACTCGATAATCGAGATGGTGCTAAAACTTTCCAAAAGCAGCCGACCCGCGTGATCAGAGTAGCGAGAGGAGCCGGAGTCACGTCCAGGGAAGTTCATGAACTCCTGACACAATTTACTAAATTTGCCGCTGTGGTCAAGAAAATGGGAGGAATCAAAGGTTTCTTCAAAGGAGGTGACATCTCTAAGAACGTTAATCCAATGCAAATGGCTAAATTAAATCAACAATTAGCTAAATCAATGGACCCAAGGATATTACAACAAATGGGTGGATTCAGTGGCCTACAAAATATGATGAGACAATTACAAGGAGCTGCATCAGCTGCTCATCATAAATGATTAATTACTCTGATTAGATTATTTTGTTACTACAATTTATACATTGGTAATTTTTAATTGACATTTAATTCACATCCACACACATAGATGAAATATTATAATTTTAATAATTATTATATTTATTATATTATGACAAAATTATCAAATCCGTTGTATAGTTTAAAAGTATTTGTTTGTTATTAAAAAAAAGACAGTTAAAGAAACGATTTACCTCCAACAATCAACTAATTGTCCTCGTTGAGAACATTAGACATAGACAATAATCAATCCAAGGTTATTATTACAACTTATACAATCAACCAAATATAATTACGATGTAATAACAATTAACAATCAGTGACAAAAGTTAATCGTTTCAACTGTGAACATGATTATCATTAATACTTATGAATCAATAGACTTTGATCATGAGACAGAAAACAAGGATTAAGGGATTAAGATTATTATTAGAAAATCATCTCTCATGGTTAATTGTCACCCTTAATCTTGTGATTAGTTGATTTAATTTTTGATTTCGATCCAAGTTTAAAATGAAGGTCAATCTAATATTAGGAACCATGGGAATCATTGCATCACCAATTCTGGTTTGTTTATGTTTCGATTTCTGGTTTTCTGGTTGATCAATTTAATTTTTTTACAGAGAAAATGAAAAACAATCAATAAACAATCAATTTACTATTTCTAATCGTCGATTAATTTGTTGAGTAAGTTAATGGTCAACACGTTAGTTAATTGTCTCTAATGTGATTTCCAAGTGATTAATGATCTAGAATGTGATTAAAAAAACTCTCGAACTGTTTAATCTTGTTCTGGATTTTGTTTTCTGCTGACAATATGGAAACAATTAAGTCTCTCTACAATTAGAACCACTAATTGCTACAAGTTTGCCAACTTAATGATCATTTGATTCTTATCATGTTAATAGTAAGATTTGATTCGTTTACTGTTAATCAACAATTTAAGTAATCAGCCCAACCCAATAGCTCATCTTTTTACTACTTTTTGATTAACAACAACAATTTTCAATATCTATTGATTATCTATTTGATATAATTAGTTAATTAACTGTGTTCCCTTTTAAATGAGCTTGAAATTATCAATACAAAGAAACAGCAAAATTCAAATCAATTAAATTGTGAAAATGATCATCATCAATTTGCCTCTTAACAAATCAAACTCCGTTTAATTGTCATCTCAATGATTTCTTAACGTAAACAATCAACTAATCATCATTTACCTTTTTCTCTAAGTGATTAATTAATTTTATCCTAAACAACAACAATACCATGAATACAATAATCCAAAAGACAATCAACTTTAACCATCTACTTGATTTACCATGTTAACCCTTAAACAAATTGATTGTAATCATATAACATAATCAACAAGATTTAATTGTTTCAAGTTTACCTCATAGTTACATATATTATCATTATTAATTGATATCTAGTTAATTAATCAACTAATTGTGATTGAAACAAAATCAAATGGATACATCGTTAATATCTGATTAGCTCAATTGAAAGCGAGGGAAAAACTTTCAGATGAATCATTTTAATCAACTACGTCTGTTAATTGTTGTTGTGTTTTAATTAATCAGTGAGATTACACAAGTAAACAAATTAGATTAATCTAATTGTGACGAGTCTCAATAGTTGATTAACATTTAATTGATTATAATCAATTAACCACCATGATGATCGTGATCAACAACAATTTGATTTAACAAGAAACAAAAAATCATTTCTATCAATGGGAAAATGTTTCCATCAACCATGTTAACTAATTGTTGAACTAAATTAATATCACAATCTAATCACCTGTTTTATTTGATTAATTTTAATTTGGTTATTGTTTTTATTAATATAATAAAGTGTCATCCGAGTTGTTAATTGCTACCGTTAATTGTTAACCTTAGGTTAACCTTTTTGCTATTGTGTTGTTAACTTTTTCAATGATTTCAAGTGTAACTTTGAATTAATAGATGAAAACCTGATGATTATTGATTTAATTGCGTATCGATTAACTGATTGAGCTTTAATCAAATTAATTGGGTTGCAAACAATTAAACAATTGTTGATTATTTATGAGATTAAATCGTTTAATCCCTCATCATCATTTTAATCATCACAATTAAATCTAAAAGGGGGGTTGTTAGGAAAACGATTAACTTTTTTGTTGTTGTTTATCAATCAAATCAATTTGATTAATGAAACCCGTGTCTCGGAGCAATTAAATGACAATATAAATTAACTAATTGATGGAAAATTAATAATAATTTTCATCTCTTAATCTTGTTGATGATTCTATTAATTGGAAGGATTCAATTTACAAGATCATTCATCATTTATTTCATTACCATTAAAGGAATTACACCAAAGCCTCAAAACCTAATTAAGTGATCGTGCTCTTAATTGTCACATATAAACCATCACCTATCAATTGATGTCCATGTAAACCATCAAAAGGTACTAATTAACTGTTACAATCAACGAAAAGACAAATGAAATTGTAACTTTTTCATTCATTTTTTCATCAATTTTCAATTTCCATTGACAAAAAGCTTCATCTCCATGTCCTCCTATTAAGATTATCTCCTCTTTCAATCTAACGGTAAAAATTGATTCTCCCTTTACCATTAACACTTTGGTCCTTAGTTCATTAGTTTAACCAAACAATTGACACCGAAAAGTTAATCTAATCTAGTAGATGATCTGATGATCTGATAATAAGACAATCAAATACGAATGCATTGAATCAAGCGAAAAATAATCTTTTCTATCGATATAATCATCGATTCCCAGAATGATGAACAATTGTTTCCATGATAATCGACACATTAGCTATTTAAATGACAACCTAGTAAATCTAAATATGTAATTCAAGTTGATTCACATTCGAATACACTTAACCTTCCCATTCTCTACAATTAACTAACTGTAAATCAAGAAGAAGAAGAAAAAAAAACTCAAGTTTCCTTTATTCTTCCTCCTCCCACTCCCACTCTTCATCACAGTCTCTCTCTCTTTCTCTATTTCTCCCTGCCTCCCTTTCTCACTCACAATTTACTCTCCTTAGTCTCTCGAAACAATCAAGTTGATATATAAATTGATAGTCAAATCTAGTAATAGTAATAAAGCAAGTGAGAGAGAGAGAGAAATAAACTTAAATTAGCAATTAACAATCAACGAAACACTTATAATACTTTTGTGTTATTGTTGTTATCAAATTGCAACAACAAGTGATTGACATTTTATTATATTATAAATTGTAAAACTTTCAAATTCAAATTGAATTATCGTCAATATGAAACGTTCAAGTAACTCGGGAAGCTCAGGTAGTAAAAAAGTGACCACCATCAATCCTCATATTGATATAAACAATGACGATTTCACCGATTCTGAATCAATCAAATTCAACATGGATCTTGATAACAGTAATTTCATCTCACATCCATCAACACCATCAAGTATTGACGGTGAAGGTGGTGTTGGGTGTGGTGGTGGTGGTGGTGATGTTACCTATGTTAAAAGTTATGGAGCTCTTGATAAACCATGTTACGTTGATGGTGCATCATCATCATCATTACCTGGAAATGTATCATTTCACCATTCTCACAATTCTCTTCCTCCCCATCATCATGCTCATCATCACCATCACCATCATTCAAATAGTAATAATAATCATCTATCAAATTCATCATCAACATTGTCCTCATCAGTTTCTCAATATGCTCATCCAATTGAAAATTATCACAATGCCTCACAATTTGGTCATCGACATTTCTCTCAGCCTTCAACTTTCCGACAAAATGGACTTTACGATGATGACCATCACCTTCAACCTCACCCTCATCAATTAATTCCTATTCAATGCCCATTGATAGTCTATCGAAAAGAGCTTATGTTAACGTTGGATTTCAGGATGATGAACGATTATCAAGTGAGTAACAATTAACTAATTTCAGAAAAATCAACGAGAAAAAGGAAAACCTTGATCAGTAATTTGCAAAGATTATGATTAACCAAAAAAAAAGAAAACAATTAAATCCATCTTATCATCTTCATCCCAAGTCATCTTGTTATCGTTAATAACTTTCCATTGTTTATCTTTGTCACCCGTGATTCCCTCTCACTTATCCTTATACCATTGATTAGAGTGACAATTAACTTAATCACAATTAACAAATAACAAATTGCTACATACAAAAGGCTTGTAATGTAATACAACATAATCTTTAAATCACCATCACAGGATTAGTTAATTGTTTCTATTGGAAATTATAATGTTAATCAATTTACCTTTTTCATCATAAGTTACACGCAACTGATGCTAATTAATTAATTGTGTAACAATTTAGTTAATCATTTGATGAGATTTAGGGAAAATGTTAAGAGTTACAAAATTTGTCTTTGGAAAGAGAGATTTTTATTAATTGTGATGACATTGATGATAGGAAAAAAATGGATTAATTTAATCAAATTTATTTCCATGATTAAATGATTATGTTTGATTGGAGAAAGTGTTTACTGTTGTGTTGGACTTTTTTTTACAACAGAAAATACTTTAAATTGTTGAGGTCACTTAGGTACCATTTATGAAGACCAACGGTAATTACACCGATTCCTAGGACAATGGCACCAATGCCTGAATATATTGATACACTTTCACCCAGAATCGTTACTTGATAAATAAAGGCCATGACGATTTCAATTGATCGAGCCAAGGAAACTGGTCCAGCATTTTCAATCTTAAGAGCGAGTGTTAATATCCCTTGACCAAATAGACCGGTCAATCCACAGAGTAAAAGTAAACCATAATCATGTAGTGTTTCCGGTAAGGTGAATGTACCATTGGTAAATGAGACAATTGTACCAGCGACTACACAAAATGTTGAATACCAAAAGACTACAACCGATGCTGGAGTTTTGGGTAATCGACGCATACATATGAATGTGAATGAAGCACCGAGACACGAGCAAAGGGCAAACGTTAGGCCAAGGGTACGATTCGAAGATGTAGAGACTAATGTAACATCGTTCGAGGGGAATATGAAACTTGGCCTTGAGATGAGAAAAATGCCTCCGATCGCCATGAAAACGGAAAAAATTTGGACTATTCCACAAGGTTCTTTAAGAATTAAACATCCAAGTATCGAGACAAACACTGGTGATGAAAAGACGATTGATTGTGAATCACCGAGAGG